ATTGAATACTTGCAAGTTAATTGCTTTGGTAATAAGGAAGTATGAATAATTTTAAGCCTTATAATTTTAAGATTGCATAGAATTTAAAACATGCATGAGTTATAAAATCATTGAAAATATATATCATGATTGAGTATCTTTCCTTTTATATTAGTGTGATTATTTTACTTTAGTCATTGTGGAAATCTGAAAGACTATGTAAGTTAACTAATTCTTACAATATCTAAAAAAACTGTATAAACTGATAATTTAAAAAATATATTTTTATTGGTTTTAGAGAGGAAGGGAGAGGGAGAAAAAGATAGAAACATCAGAGATGAGAGAGTATCATTGATTGGCTGCCTCCTGCAGACCTCACATTCAGGACTGAACCTGCAAATCAAGCATATGTCCTGACCAGGAATTGAACTGAAGGCTATCTGTAGAAGTGCTCTAATGTGTAGAGTTGATCTTCATTATTTATGAGTTCTGATTTTGTGAATTCATTACTTGCTAAGATTCATAACCCCATAATTCACTCAATGCTTTTACAATTACAATCATTTGTGAACATGCACAGAGCAGTGAAAAATTTGAGTGGCCTTACACACACATTCCTAGATGACATCAAACAAGACAGTGCTTTGTGTTCTTACTTCAGCTCTTATTCTCTCTACATATATAGATATATATAAATTTCTATATTTCTTTTTATATGTATGTCCTTTTAGACATAAATATTGAGTGGCCAGATTATTATGATCTCTGAACGCATAGTAATCTGGCCGCTCAGTGTATATCCTATATAATAAAAGGCTAATATGCAAATTGTCCCCTTGACCAGGAGTTTGACCAGCAGGCAGGCCGGCTAACTGCTCATGTCCCCTCCCCCTGGCCAGGCTGGCTGAACCCCACCCATACACGAATTCATGTACCATGCCTCTAATACATATACACACACACACACACACACAAACACACACACACTGCTGAGTGGCCAGATTATTATGTGATCAAAGATCATAATAATCTGGCCACTCAGTGTATATATTCATATATATATAGTACCAGTTAGGTTTTTGTTTTGTTTTTTTAATCTTTTATTGTTCAGATTATTACAAATGTGTTCCTCTCCCCCCCTCAATTGCTCCCCTCCACCAGGTTCCCACCCCACCCTCTGCCCTTTCCCCACCCCCCATTGTCCTCATTCATAGGTGCACAGTTTATATTCAGTCTCTTCCCGCACTCCCATTCCCCTTTTCCCCGAGAATCGTCAGTCCACTCCCCTTCCATACCTCTGATTCTATTATATTCACCAGTTAATATTGTTCATCAGATTTTTTAATTCCCTTGGTTTTTAGATTCACTTGTTGATAGTTACATATTTGTTGTTCATAATTTTTATCTTTATCTTCTTCCTCTTCCTAAATAACCCCCTTTAGCAATTCATATAATTCTGGTTTGGCAGTGATGAACTCTTTCAGCTTTTTTTTTATTTGTGAAGCTCTTTATCTGGCCTTCGATTCTGAGTGATAGCTTTGCTGGGTAGATTATTTTTGGCTGTAGGTTCTTGCTATTCATCACCTTGAATATTTCTTGCTTTTCCCTTCAGGCCTGCATGGTTTCTGTTGAGAAATCAGCTGACAATCATATGGGTGCTACTTCATAGGTAACTACCTGCTTTTCTCTTGCTGCTTTTAATATTCTCTCTTTGTCTTTTGCTCTTGGAATTTTAATTATGATGTGTCTTGGTATGGTCCTCCTTGGATTCCTTTTGTTTGGGGTTCTGTGGGCTTCCTGGACTTGTAAGTCTATTTCTTTCCCCAGGTGGGGCAAGTTTTCTGTCACTATTTCTTCCAGTATTCTTTCGGTATCTTGCTCTCTCTCTTCTTCTGGGATCCCCATAATTCTGATGTTGGTTCGCTTGAAATTGTCCCAGAGGTTTCTTACACTGTATCTTCAACTTTCTGGGTTCTCTTATCTTCTTGCTTCTGTGGAGAAGTGTCCTCTGGATCTTTGTGTTCTAAATCTTTGTCTTGATTCTTATGATCTTCCAGTCTGATTTTAGGACTCAGACAATGTTTTCTTCATTTTTAGTTGATCCCTTATTATTTCTAGTTGATCTCTTTTCATATCCTCATAGGTCTCATTTATTTTATCGGCCTTTTTTTTAGGATATTCTTGAATAATCTTATAACTGTAGTTTTGAACTCAATGTCCAATCTTTTCTTTTCCTCCATCTCCTTCCTTTGTGTCCTGCCTCTTGTCTGCATTTTAGTTGTTTCCCTGATTTTATGGAGTAGTTTTGTGTGCTAGGTGTTCTGGTAGAGCCCAGTAGCACAGCCTTCCCAGTTACCTGCGGAGGACAGTCTTGGTGTAGCCCTTTGTGGGCTGTGTGTGCAGTCTTGTTGTTAAGCCTTGCTTTTTGTTGGTATCACTGGGAAGCGTTGATCTCCAAGCCAATTGGCTATGAGGATCAGCAGTGTCTCAGCTAGGAGGGCTTCTGTACTCCGCTTGGATGGGGCGGGGTCTCGGGGTGGCACAGACAATCTTTGGTTCCCTGTCAGTCTCACCTTAGAAAAGTCCTGTTCGCGGTGAGTTTCGGAAGATTGGTTGTAGGCGCACGCACCTCTTTGGTAAAGGTGCAGACAAGCTTTGGATTCTGGCCAGTCCCTCCTTAGAGAAAGCCAGCCTCTGGGAGGGCTTCTGTGCTCAGCTTGGATGGGGCCGAGTCTCGGGTTGGTGCAGACAAGCTTTATTTCCCTTTGGCTCCTACCCAAGTGCTGCAGTAATGGCCTCTGGCTTCACACACCTCCGAGAGATCTCTGCCCACTGCCTGACAGTCTGGCCTCTTCCTGTCTGGAGCTGTCTATCAGAGCAATAGGGCAATTCTGTTTTCCTCTCGAACAAGAAAGCTAGCCGGGAGTAAGCCAGCAGCAATCTCGGTCCAGCCCTACCTCTCCGCCCGCCAGGAGTAAGCCAGCGCCTTTTCATGTTCACAATTCTCTGTACCTTCACAGTTCCTGAGGTTCAGTGTGCCTTCTCTCTCCTTTCCAGATGGCAGAGCTTCATCTCAGCTAGCTGTCCGGTGCTTCAGGGCAATGCCTCCCTTGCTTTCCAGTTCTAAATTCAAATTTGTTGTGGTAGGCTGCATTCAGGTGTCTACCCTATGCCGCCATCTTGGTTTCTCCAGTACCAGTTAATTTTGCATTTTGAGCTTTTTGTTAGTGATTTTGCTCTTAAAAATGACCCTCAAGTATTGTGCTGAAATGCTGACCTTTGTTCCTAAGTGCAAGAAGGCTGTGATGTGCCTTACAGAGAAAAATACATGTGTTAGGTAAGCTTCATTCAGGCATGAGTCATTGTACTGTTGGCTGTGAATTCAATGTTAATAAATTTATATAGAACAAGATTATGTATTTATGGATTGGCAAATATGTGACCCAAAGGCTCACAAGAGCTTTAACCCTATATTTCCCCTAGGAACAGTGACTCAGTGTTCACTAATTCAGTGTTCACATCATTACTGATGTGACTGTAGAATATTACTGCAAACAATGAGACTATCACGCTTAATTTTATTTATATATTTCTTATTTTTTTAAAATATATTTTATTGATTTTTTTATAGAGAGGAAGAGAGAGGGATAGAGAGCTAGAAACATCAATGAGAGTCATCGATCAGCTGCCTCTTGCACACCCCCTACTGGGGATGTGCCCGCAACCAAGGTACCTTGGTTGGAATCGAACCTGGGACCTTTCAATCCGCAAGCCAACGCTCTATCCACTGAGCCAAACTGGTTTCAGCTATCATGCTTAATTTTAAAACTAAGTGGTTATTAAAAATTACAATTAGACGATTTTTAAACTAGGTGATTATTTGAGACCAGAAAAATTAATGAATCTTGGGTAGTTGAGAAGAGGAAGGAAATGATTCACTTGTATACAGAAGTCCTGAAACCTAGAGAAGCAGGAAGTACATTTTAGTTAGCATAGCTTCCTCTCAGAAAGATGTGGTCCTTGGGTTTTTATGTATATTTAATGCATAACAACAAGCAAAACTAAATTATATGCACAGTTCCCTTACATCTAAAGGAGTCTTTCGTTCTCTAAGGACAGATTAAGAAAAATGAAGAATCAGATGACTGAAAATACCTGCCCTTCTTACCACTGAAGGACAAGGCATAGTCATTAGTGGGAAGAAAGCACCATTACTTTCTATATCATTGATGACCACATAGAATTGTATGTAGTGAGGAGCATTACTCATAATTTCTTTCCCTTCTTTGCACCTGATACACTTTGAGATCATAGTACATATCCTTAAACACCAAAACACTAAGGCCTTAGTGTTTCTCAGTGGACCACTATACTAATATTAGTGATCTGCCCCTGGCCAATGATACACAGGTTTTTAGTAGACACTAATACACTGAAGAAATTAATAGCAAATGAATTGACCAGCTCATTGATTCATTTATACTGTGTTTCTTTTAATCCAAAAGTAAATTCAAATGGTTAAGAAACAAACAAATATATATATATATATATATATATATATATATATATATATACACACACACACACACACACACACATACATACACACACACACACACACTCTGAAAGGTCTAATAATGAAAAATAAGTGAATCCCATCCAACCTCTCTTATTCCCTCAACTATTTCTTTTTTAATTTTATTTAAAATATATTTTATTGATTTTTTTACAGAGAGGAAGGAAGAGGGATAGAGAGATAGAAACATTGACCAGCTGCCTCCTGCACACCCCCTACTGGTGATGTGCCCGCAACCCAGGTACATGCCCTTGACCGGAATCAAACCTGGGACCTTTCAGTCTGCAGGCCGATGCTCTATCCACTGAGCCAAACTGGTTTCAGCTCCCTTAACTACCATGTTTCCCTGAAAATAAGACCTAGCACAACTTTGGGAGAAAAAATTAATATAAGACCCTGTCTTATTTTCAAGGAAACAGAGTATTTCTTTCGTTATTAACCTCCATATTGTTGTTTTTAAAAATATATATTTTATTGATTTTTTTTTACAGAGAAGGAGGGAGAGGGATAGAGAGTTAGAAACATAGGATGAGAGAGAAACATCAATCAGCCGCCTCCTGCACACCTACAGGTGATATGCCCGCCACCAAGATACATTCCCTTGATTGGAATCAATTACCCTTGAGTCCGCAGGCCGACGCTCCATCCACTGAGCCAAACTGCTTAGGGCTACCTTCAAATTGTTAAGCAATATCTGGACATTCTTAGTATGCTTTAAAAATAAGCATCTTTACATATCTCTAGTTTATATTCTAGTCATATTTTTCTCTGTAAAATACCTTTAATTCTCTTCTATTTATTTTTAAGTTTTCAGCAATGATGTTATGTCCTGTCAGGAACTCTTTATTAACCACCCTAATCAGTTTGGCTCAGTAGATAAGAGTGTTGGCCTCCAGACTGAAGGGTCCATGTTTGATTCCAGTAAAGGGCACATGCCTGGTTGCAGGCTGGATCCCCAGTAGGCGATTTAAAGGGGGCAACCGATCAATGATTCTCTCGTCATTGATGTTTCTATCTATTTCTCCCTTTCCCTTTCCCTTTCTCTCTGAAAGCAATAAAGATATATTTTTTTAAAAATTCATTAACTTGTATCTGTGACTTCTATCGATTGGAATATAGTGTGTTCATAATGGGTCACAATTTAGTGAAACTTGTTCTTTTCCTTTTTTGGATTCTAGGGGCTAGAAAATTATGCTGAAGTGGGTGCTAGCTCTTGTGGAATTATCAGAGAACTAGAGAACAATTAGATTCTTAAGACCCAACTTTACAGGAGTTTAGTCTGGTGAGAGTATAAGGACTTAGCTGAATAGATTCTAATGTAAAGGAAAAGAATTGACATTTTAAAGTTATCCTTGAAGCCTTCAAGAGAGAGTAACTCACAAGACTAGCTGTTGCTTAAATAACTGAAATAAGCATAAGAGCACTACCGTAATTACTGAATCCTTTCTTGTGTTGATTCAAGGAAAACTTCACAAGGTTGAAAGTTAAAATATAGCATGCCATTTATAGTGTCCTCATCATCCTTCAGAACTTTACTAAAAATTGTCAGCTTAGGCAACTAGATGATGCAAATAAACTTAGGGTTTTTGTTTGTTTTTAATATATATATAAAGAGAGGAAGGGATTTCAGAGAGGAAGGGATAGGGATAGAGATAGAAACATCAGAGAGGAAGGGATAGGGATAGAGATAGAAACATCAGTGATGAGAGAGAATCATTGATTGGCTGCCTCCTACACGCCCCCCCCCCCCCCCCCCACACACACACACACACACACTGGGGATTGAGCCCAAAACACAGGCATATGCCCCTGGCCTGAATTGAACTTGGGACCCGTCAGTCTGTAGGCTGTTCTTCTGTCCATTGAGTCAAACAGCTTAGGGTTAAATCGTTGTTTTAACTGGGTATATGGATAAGCTACTACCCCATTTATAATATCTTTTCTATGTTGCTCGTTATATTTAAATACAGCATATACCTTAGAAATATAAAACTGGAAAGGGCCTTAGAAATTATCTAGTCCTATCCTTTTACAAGTGGAGAAAACTGATGCTTAAAGTAGAGAAATAACTTACCTAAGGGCACACAGTCATTGGGGACCGAGCCAATGGCAGAACCAGCATATTATGAGTTTATATGCAGAACATTTTCCATGGTACTGTGCTGATGACCAAAAAAAAAGGCAACTTGATTTATTGTCTGTCTCCTCTCAAAAGCTTTAATAATCTAGGTGTGAGGCCCAAGATGGAAAGGTAACCTTATTTTAAGGTGTGTAATTCTGTGAACTATGAATTTCTTCTTTTTAGGACAACAATTTGTAATCTTTACACAATGCCACGAATTGGAGAGCCTGTTTGGCTTACAATGATGTCGGGGATTCCAGAAAAGAATCAGCTTTGCCATCGATTCATGAAGGAGTTCACTTTTCTAATGGAAAATGCTTCAAAAAATCAGTATGTCTGTCTTTACTTATCTGAGCTATCTTAAATATCTTAGTTATTGTTTACTATAGCTAGATGTAAAATTATAATCAAACTCAGTTATAAAAGTAAAACAATTAATCATTATCTTTGTAACTTTTAGATATTAATAAAATGAATTCTAAAAGATAATGAAAAAACAGGGTATGGAAAAAGGCCACAGAATTTTATGAATAAGAAACAGTAAAAATGTCTATATGTGAAATTAAAAGTCCTGACATCTTACAGAAAACTCTGAGGCTTTCCATTTTTTGTGAATTATATTTACTTTTGCTGTTTCATACCGTAAAAAAGAAATTTAACAGTATAAACAAATGCCAGGATTCTAGTGATTCATTTTTAAAAATATATTTTATTGATTTTTTACAGAAGGAAGAGGGATAGAGAGTTAGAAACATCAATGAGAGAGAATCATCAATCAGCTGCCTTTTGCCCCCCCCCCACCCCTTACTGGGAATGTGCCGGCGACCAAGGTACATGCCCTTGACGGGAATCGAACCTGGGACCTTTTAGTCCGCAGGCTGACTCTCTATCCACTGAGCCAAACCGGTTTTGGACGTTTTTGTTTTTTTTTTTAAATAGTGGTGGGTGTGTTTTTCTTTATTGTTGTTTTTAAATATGTTTTTATTGATTTCAAAGGGAAGAAGGGGGAGAGAGAAACATCAATGAGAATCATTAATTGGCTGCTTCCTGCACGCCCCCTACTGGGGATTGAGCCCACAACCCAGAATAGAAATCGAACCATGACTACTGTGGTTTCATGGTTTCATTTTGACTGGACCCTGTGATCCATTTTTTAAATTATATTTTATCATGTTTTTTTCCTCAAAATTTCCAGAATTCACATGAGTAATTCAAATTTTCTTTTTAATTCTCTTTGATGGTAGATTGTTTAATACTTTCCTTCATTTTACCATTCAGTACTTTGGAAATGTATAGAACTTCTGGTTTATATGCTAATAAATTGTGTAAATTAAACTTTGAAAAGAATTCATAGTTTTTCATCTAAAACTGCATATCTGTTTTGTAATTATGATCAGAAATAGTTCCTTGTGAATGCTGTCTTTATTTCAAGGATTTTCTTTGACTCACACACAACCAAAAAATTAAATTTCGTTTTTATCCCAGTGATATTCCTATCCTTTACCCTCTCTTTTTGTATGCTGTTTGGCCATGTGCGAATATGTACTTTCTTTGCTTTATTCTGTCACTCTATTTACCTGAGGTTTCATGAAGGCAGATTAGAATCTGATAGGATGCATTTTGTTTTCAGATTCTTGCCAGCACTCATTACTGCAGTTCTGACCAATCATCTTGCCTGGGTTCCAACAGTTATGCCAAATGGACAACCACCTATAAAAATATTTTTAGAAAAACATTCCTCTCAGAGTGTGGACATGTTGGCAAAGACTCATCCATATAACCCACTTTGGGCACAGCTGGGTATGTAGTCTGATAACCCTTACATTATGCGTTATATATACTTAGACTTTTGTGTAACTTTTTGGAGTTATTTTATAGCCAAAAAATACATAAATAAAAAAATAAAGAAAAGCAAGTCAATGTTAAAGCACCTGTTCATTACATGTCATTTTATATCTGCTGAATTGTCTTATCCTTCCTTCCCCATCTTATGTTTAATACTAATGGCCTGATGCATGAATTCATGCTCATTGAAAGGAAATTAATTAGAAGTATTTTAATATTACTGTTTGCTCTTTCTCTATAATAGAAGTATCAACCAAATTCACGATCACAATGACAGATTGAAACACACATGTGCAATTGATGCCAGCTAGAGCTTTATATGTATTGCGCATGCACGAGCCAACTTAGCCTTTTATATATAGAACAAACTTGTTTAATTTGACCTGTTTTCTGATTTAACTAAACTTTTTCCAGCCCAGTGAAGCACCCTAACTTCTCTTTCAGATAATTGTCAGCAACACAGCAGTAAATAGCAACACAAAACAGATTGTTATTGTAGATCACGCAGGGAGAACAAAGGGTAAAATATTTAACTGCAGCAGTATTTGAATATATTCTGCACAGTGACAAAACCTGAAGTCATTTTCAAGGTCCACAATTTCTTACTTCTTTTCAGTCAGGTCAAGTTTCTAAACTTTCTAAATTTCTGTTTTCCGGCTAATGAAAAGAAAATAGTATTGCACTGAGTCTCCTAGCTACCTACTCCAGGACTTCTGTGAGGATCAAATGAGATGTGGCATGGGAAAACACTTTATATAAATTTGGTTAAAGTGTAAAATGTTTGTACCTGGCTATAAAGCAAGTTGTGTTCCTGGACTGAAGAAACTCCAAGGATGCTAGTCACTAGGGAGAGGAAGTTGGGCATTGCTACATGATGTCATTACCTAGTGCCCACAGCAACTGTTTCCAGGCTGGGCTGGGGGCCGCATTTTGCGCATGGGGTCTTGGCAGCATTGGCTGCGGATTTGGTAGTGTATAGTTCTGGGGTGGTAGTGGGGCCTGTGTCCCACTTCAAGGAAGCTGAATGTTGTTTTGTCGGCGTCATGTTTATGGTGCTGTTTCTCTGTAAATGGCCAGTGCACATGGCAGCTCCTGCTTTGAGTGTCTGCCCCCCTGGTGGTCATTGTGTGTCATAGCAATTGGTTGGACTGTTAGAGTGACACTTAGCATATTAGCCTTTTATATAGAGAGATCCCTTATAGTTAGAGAGCTGCAGTTGGACCAAGGGAAGCAGGATAATGGTTGGTTCATTAGTAACTTCAGGACCTTAAGGGGGATTTGTGTTCGATCCTTTGCCTAGAAAGAATAAGTCAACAAAGTCACTCATGATAGTTCAATAAATCTAGTTAACTGAAAAGCAGTCAGAGATTTATATTGTTCCACTTTTGTTTGATTGTTGAGTAATTTTGGAAAATGTTACCCTTTGTGCTAGGCCTCAGTGAGTAAATGGTTAACAGGAGAGAAGGGATAGTTGTTGAGTAGACAGTCATTAGGAAGGCAGTGTAGCATGGTGCTTAGAAAACACAGGCTGTGGAATCAGGCAGACCACATTTGGATCACAGTTCCTTTATTTGCAAAGTGGGTATAATAATAGGTATTACATACTTCATAAAGTTATGAAAGCACTTAGGACAGTGACTGGTAAATGTAGCTACCCTTACTCTATTGCTGTTAGGTAATCAGGGAAGAATATGATGAAAACATCTTGGTGACCTCATAGAAAGTTCCTTTAGGTTGTGTTGGTAAGTTATCTTGCCAGGCAGATTGTCATATGGCTTATTAATTCATGTAACCAACCTCCCTTCCTTCCCTTTCTCCTTCCTTGCTTCCTTCCCTCCTTTTCTTCCTTCTCCTCTCCTTTTTTCTACTGAATTACAGTCACTAATATACAGCAAACACATATGTAAAGTATATAATTTTGTAAGTTTTGATGTATATGTCAAAATATATGTCTCTGAAACCATCATTAAAATCATGATGGTGAATATATTCATCACTTCTGAAATTACCTCATGCCCTTCCTCCTGTTTTTCACCACTCTTCCTGTTCACTGTCCCATATACCCAAGTAGCCGCTGATATGCTTTCTATCACGATAGATTACTTTATATTTTCTAGTATTTTAAAGAAATGGAATCATAGTAGTATATGCTTTCATTTGATTATTTTGAGATTCACCTATTTTTTATGTATTAATAGTTCATTTTTTAAAATTCTGAGTAGTATTCTTTTGTATGGTTAATAACTTTCCTTTTTTTCAAATCACACGATTCAGTAATATTTTGGGGGGGGACATTACAAACCTATTTTCAATTCTATAGTTTTATATTGAGTACATGATATATTTAAGGCTCTGTACAAAGAGCAAAGAATATTAGAGGGTATAAAATTATATCTGGTCCTTACCCTCAAGAAGTTGACAGTATTATTCTATAGGTAATGAATATGTGAGAAATAATGATAATCAAAGAGGAACTATGAGCGAAATAAAAAATTCAGTGGGTGTTCAGTTGGGGAAACTTTTGCCCAAGGGAGGATGATTGGGTTGGTAGCTTTGGACTGATAAAAATATAGAGGGAAGGGAACAAAAATAACATGAGTAAAGAGTTCTAGGTGTTGAAAGTTCTGAGCATATTCGATTTAAGTAGTCTACTTTAAGTGGGACTTTGAGTGCATAAGCAGGTAACCTGGAGAAGTAAAGTAGAAATAGTCATAAAAGACTCAGTTGCCATGCCAAAGCAGTTCAATTTATTTAGTAATTAGTGGGAGCCTTGGGCATAGTTTTGAACAATGGCATGATGGTATTAGGGCCAGTGTCTTAGCTTAAAAAAGAAAACTTAGCATAATACTGTTTGTAGCATACCTTTATTTGAAACTTAATATGTCTTCATTCCTTTAAAAAGTGTGAAACTTTTCTAAAATTTAAATAGAGATATTAAATATTTATAATAACAACTTTCAGAATTTAATTAAATTTAAACTAATTACTTTGTATTGTCCATTTTAAAGTCTTTAAACCTATTTTGGTTTAAGTTGAGGTATAGCATAAATATAAAAATGACATTGTTTACTCTTAGTTAACAATGTAATTATTATAATGTAATTATTGTTTATGTCTAGTATGGATACAAAAGTGAAAATGAACCACATAGCTAAATATGTTGCCCTTTGTTTTCCTCTTAGGATAGGTCTCACCTGCCTTTTCTGGTCTGTCCTTAGGACCCAACCCTTGAGAGAATGGAAGGGAAAATGGGCTTTTTAAAACCATGGCTGCTATAGGGTTCTGATTAGGGTAGCAAAAATTAATGTTTGGTGTTATGATTTAAATCAAGGAAGGTGAGGTGTATGATGTGACCACTCTAGCTCTGTTCCATTCCACCACCACTTCTTTCCTCTCCTTGTGCTTCCCTTCTCTGCATTGAATGCAGCTACAGAATATTTTCAGGCAGTACTTCTCCACCTAGATGGAGGGCTCTACTTCTCTACTTGGGGCCTGACACAGAATATTCTTGTTAAATTCAACTTTTACAACTGACTTTTTGCTTGAGGTTTCAAAACCATAGCAACTACTAAAGGAGGAAGATGGAAAACCCCTGCATTCATCTTTCTCTTTGATTTAGATCACTCATCTTATCCTATTCTTCTGAATAGTTGCTCACCTATTAAAGAACTAAGAATAAAACCTGAACCCTCATACAATAAGAATAGGTTTCCAGTCATTGAAAACAGCTTGCTTAGCTGCATGAGTAAAGGATGTGTCCATTAACTTGTTTTTCCATTGCAGGGGACTTGTACGGTGCTATTGGCTCTCCTGTAAGGTTAGCAAGAACTGTGGTAGTTGGCAAACGACAAGACATGGTCCAGAGGCTGCTTTATTTTCTTACTTATTTCATAAGATGCTCTGAACTTCAAGAAACCCATCTTTTAGAAAACGGAGAAGATGAAGCCATTGTTATGCCAGGCACAGTAATTACAACCACGTTAGAGAAAGGTGAAATAGAAGAATCTGAATATGTGCTTATCACAATGCATAGAAACAAAAGC